GTATGTCGTTGGCCCGCGCTTCTGGGTGCGAGCATCGACTGAACCCCGTACGGTCAGGAACTGTTGCACAGTTTGTCGCGGCGGCGGCCCCGGCGATACGCTATGCCTTGCAAGCGGATAGGTCGCTCCGCTCCGCGGGGCGGGATGCTGGGAACTGCTCGAGACGTTGACGCTTGGAAATGGGGACGTAGGCAGCGTGTCGCGCCACGGCGTGGTGGTCCAGAACTGGCGGAACGACATGCTAAGCAAAAGCTCCAGACCGTATGTGGCAGAGCACAACATGCACCCAATGGACTACATCACAGAGCTTGCACCGCATGGCTTACACCACGTAGCATTGCATCGCACATATTGCACCAAACCGCTTGCACCACAGGTGTTACACATCCAGAGCGCAATGACTCACCATGTGGGATCCGCAGACATGCACCCAGGAAACTCATGCGAGGAGAAATGTGTTTCGAAAGTGTGTGCATGTTTACGCCTCCCAGGGTGGCCCATGACTCCGTGGCCACTGGGGAGCAGAAGACTTCAGCAGGGGCACCTGATGATCGACGTGCATGATGCCCGTTTCACAACGTGCACCCCTGGAAGTCTGGACCCCTTCCCCGCGAACGGTGTCCCGATGCGGAGTCGTGGCTGGGCGGCCAGGGGGTCCCTAGGGGGACAGACCGCCCACTGCAACTGTTTCACGGCGCGAGGAAGTCTACTTTTACATAAATCGATACACATGCACACATGTATATATATATATATATATGAAAACACAACTTTATAGACAAGCAAACAAAGCAGCAGCAGCAACAACAACAATAACAACAACAACAACAACAACAACAACAACAACAACAACAACAACAACAACAACAACAACAACAACAACAACAACAACGACGACGACGACGACGACGACGACGACGACGACGACGACAACAACAACAACAATCAGTTTAAGACTGTTCGCCCCTATCTGCTCACGTGCCCATTAGTACGTATATCCCAAACCCTCGGTACCCGCCCTCGTCGTCTTCGATCGTACCCCCTTAGGGGTGTATCTTCCTTACATGCCACGTGTATTCAGTGCAGCCCCTAAAACAAGAGAAGAGAGGACGGGTGGAAGGAGGAGGGAGAATAATGGAGCACGAGAGAAATCAGCAGGAGGGGGGCAACGAGCAGAAAACAAGTGGTAGAACCAGACGGGCAGATCGGGTGGGCAGACCCATAGCGGGCAGGTCGGGGAGGCGGGCCCAGGCAACGAGGTCGAGCAAGCGGGTTGCTGAAGCGTGAGTCCTGCATGAATAGCGAGGAAGACTCGAGCGATAGCGCGATTCCCAAGTAAATCGTGAGAAAAACCAGCGTGGGCCACGAAAGGCATAACATCCGAGGCCACAGAGGGCAGCGACGGGGCCGCTGAGGGCAGCACCGGGGCCACGAAGGGCAGCGAGGGGGCCACAAAGGGCGACAGCGGGGCCACGAAGGGCATGCATATGGAGCCACGACGGGCGCGAGCGAGCGGGAGCCACAAAGGGCATTCGTACACGGGGCCGCATAGGGCGACAGCGGGGCCACTGAGGGCAGCAAAGGGGCCACCAAGGGCAGCGAGGGGGCCACGAAGGGCGACAGCGGGGCTACGAAAGGCATGCGTATGGGACCACGACGGGCGCGTGCGAACGGGGGCCACGAAGGACATCGAATGCGGGGCCACAGAGGGCAGCGACGGGGCCACTGAGGGTAGCAACGGGGCCACGAAGGGCAGCGAGCGAAGGCGACCGCGGAACCAATTCGGGCAGCGAGGGGCATCGAAGGCGGGCGAAAGGCAGCGAGCGGCGACTGCAGTCATTAACGGGCTGGTCAGGCGGGCAGGCCCCGACGGGCGGGTCGAGCGGGCGGGTCGTTGAAGCGTGAGTCCTGCTTGACCAGCCAGGCAATCTGTAGCGGGAGCACGATTCCTGAGTGTCGAGGGCCGGCATCTGAATAAGTTGTTATGAAATATCAAGCGAAGTGATTCGGTGGTAAGTTGCGAGGAAGTCCCAAGCGAGAACGCGATTCTGCAATAAACTGTCAGGAAGTGTCAGGCGGGAGTCGCGATTCGGCGGTCAATTGCCAGGAAGTCCCAAGCGAGAGCGCGATTCTTCAATAAGTTGTGAGGAGGTATCTGGCGGGAGCCATTGTTGTTGTAAACCGGGGGCCAACGACACATTTTGACCCTCAAAACTTTCCTCGATAAAAAACAGGGTGCGAGCCCCAGGAGGGGCACTTCAATCGAAAAAGTACCATGTGCACGAGGCGGGGGGGGTCAACAATAATCATTCTTCAGAAATGAGAGTTCAGCACCAACACCAACACCAACACCAACACCAACACCACCACCACCAACAACAACAACACCAACACCAACACCGACACCGATACCAACACCAACAACAACAACGGCAGCAACAACAGCAACAGCAGCAGCAACAGCAACAACAGCAGGAACAGCAACAGCAACAGCAACAGCAACAGCAACAACAACAACAACAATACAAACAACAACATCATCATCATCATCATCAACAACATCAACAACAACAACAACAACAACAACAACAACAACAACAACAACAACAACAACAACAACAACAACACCAACAACAACAACAGCATAATCATCATCATCATCATCATCATCATCATCATCATCATCATCATCATCATCACCATCATCAACAACAACAACAACAACAACAACACAACGAGGAAGTCTGGGCCTTCCCCTGGAAGAGCAGCCCCCGAGACCTGGCCAGGGGTGGCGTCCGGGGCAGGGCCTCCCAGCGCCATGCGCCCGCTGCGGCGACGGGCCTCCCAGAGGCCCGAGCAGGGAAGACAATGAAGGGGCCCTGGGACACACAAATAAGTACACACAAATAAGAAGATTCCCCATACTTTCCCATGTTTTCTGGGTTTCTGCCGTCCCCCCCACTTCCCATGTTTTCGCATATGTTCTGGAAGTCGACGAATAATTGTGTCTGTGTGTTTTTTCCCCTCCTGGGACAAGCCAGCCGCAGGACCTGTGCCCAGACACCCTCGCGCATGGGAAAATCGTGGCGCGAAGTCTTGCATTGTTTGCGGCCTCTAGGGGCCCTCGCCGGGCCTCGGGACCGTCACAAGACGACTCGGGATGAAAAACGGGTGCCCGGGAAGCTTGCCATCGCTGAGACGCCCATGTCCCGTGCATGTTTGCGATTTCGCGCGCGTGCATGTTTCGACAGTGATCCCAGAGATGCCCCTCAACGGTCCTCGCCGAGGGAGAAATACACACGTCCGAGCGATGCCAAGGAAGGTGTCCAGGCTCCTGCGGGTCACGCCACGGAAAAAAACACGACGTCGGGGGACTACCCCCCCTTCATTCCCCACCCCTCCCCTGAACCTCTGCCTCCACCTCCTCCTCCCCATCCTCCTCACCCTCCTACTCCTCGTGCGGCTCCTCCCCCTGCTCGTCCAACTTCTCCTCCTTCTACCTCGTCGTGGCCAGCGTCCTCATCTTCAGGGTCGGCGGCACCGGCCGTGAGGCCTTCGTAGTACACACGTCCGAGCGATGCCAAGGAAAGCGTCCAGGCTCCTGGGGGTCACGCCAGGGAAAAACCGCAACGTCGGCGGTCTGTGTGTGCTGTGCGCTCTTCCGGCCTCCCAGAGGAGTAGGCGAGCCCGTCGGCGGCCTTGGCTGCCGAGAGGTCCAGGCAGTGCCAGGGGGGGTCACCACTGGGGCGGGCGTGGGGTCACCACCAGGGCGGGCGTCACCACCGAGGAGGGCCTCGGCGTCGTCGTCGTCGTCGTCGTCCTCCTCCTCCTCCTCCTCCTCCTCCTCCTCCTCCTCCTCCTCCTGCTCCTCCTCCTCCTCCTCCTCCTCCTCCTCCTCCTCCTCCTCCTCCTCCTCCTCCTCCTCCTCCTCCTCCTCCCCCTCCTCCTGCCCCTCCTCCACCTCCTCTTCCTCATCCTCCTCCTCCCCCTCCTCCACCGCCTCCTCCCCCTCCTCCCCCCCAAGCTCCCAGGACCCTCCAAACCACACTGTTCCTCCAAAAGCGGCCACAGCCCCCACCCCCATCTGACCCCCCTCCCCAGAGAGGAGGCGGGTTGGGGCAGGTGGGAGCGGGGCATAACTTACTGCCGAGTCTCTTCTGTGAAATATCCTCGCACTCAGGTTTCGAGAACTTCCTGGCCCAGCCCCCGAGGGGGAGGGGGAGGGAGGCCAGGCGGTGGCGGAGGTGCATATTCTTTCCCCAACCGCTCCTGACCAAGGGACCACCTGCGGGGCCGTGTTCTGACCATGATTTCGAGGCGAATCCAGCCGTGGCGACGATGGAGGGGCAGCGGTATCGGTGCCGGGATCGGGAGCTTCCCCTCCTCTGAAACCTCATGCAGCCTGGTCTCTATATGGGGGGGTGCAGTGACCGAAGCCGCACCCGAAAATATGCCCAGGGTGGCCGAAACGGGCGCCCGAAATGTCCTGAACGCGCTAGAGTGTGACCGAAGTCCCCAGTTCGAAGCCAACACTCTGTTCAGTCGCGGTCCAAACTTCGGTCACGCTAGGTTTCCGATCACGACTTCGGGCACGTCTTCGGCCACCAATGCGTTTTTCGGCCACGCTCTGCTTCGGCGGATGGGGGCCTGGGCGCCGTGAGAAGCTAGGGAAACCCAAAGGCACCGCTACCGCTACTCCCCGGACATCTCCCAGGGTGCCTTCTGACCAGGATCTCGAGGCGAGTCCAGCGGTGGCGACGAGGGCCTCCCAGGAGGCCCCAAAAAAGGGGAAAGCGGGCGAAGGGTAGCAGTGCACGGTTTCCCCCGGGGCCGTAGGCGACCCGAGGAGGAGGAGGAGGAGGAGGAGGAGGAGGAGGAGGAGGAGGCGGGAGGAGGAGGAGTAGGACGGGTCGCCTAAGCCCTTCGGGGAAACCCTCCAGGTAGCGGTATGGCTACCTTTCCCTCCTCTGAGAAACCTGGCGGTGACCCCCCTTCGGCACTGCATGAGAGGTAGTCTTCCAGCGCGTCCGCGAAGGCCACCGGGTCCTCCGCGTCGCGGGCCATGGCGGAGCCCTGCAGCTGCACGGCCAGGGCGGGCGAGGCCTCCCACGGGCTCCGCGGCGACGACGCCGACGGCATCGACTCGGAGGATCACTGCTGGCGCTTCGGCAGGATCGGCCGACATCGAATCGGGAAATCGGGTCGCATCCCAGACCTCCTCGCGCTGTGAAAAAAATCAGGACGGAAGGTGTTTCACTATTTTCGGGCTCCCGGGGTCCTTTCTGGGCCTCGGGGTCTTCAAAAAACGACTCAGGATGAAAAACCGGTCCCCGGGAAGGGGTCCAGACTTCTGGGGGCATGTCACTACAAAATTCGCCATGTCGGGGGTCTGGGATCGCATCGGAATGTAAATCGGACCCGGCCGCATCGGCACGGAGTCGGAATCGAATCGGATTGGCCGCGCCAGGACGCACAACAGCGCCAGGCACGCGTCGGGCCGAATCGGATCCAAGGTCGGAATCGAATCGGATCGGACCCGCCGGCATCGGTACCGAATCGGACCGATCGGATCGAAGTGGGGAATTCGCTTCGGGGGGTGCTTGCCACTGCGGCCGGAACGAGGGGGTCCAGAATCAGGCAGCAACTCACGGAAGCTTCTGGTCGCCCCCGTGGCGCCCACTGGCGCGCGCAAAGCCGGCGCATCTCCCTCACATGTCGCTACTATTCGGCGCTGTGGGTCGCTACCGGGCACTCCTTGGACCCTTTTCGGAGCGTCTGGGCGTTACTTGGCTATGGAGCGCTGTTTGGCGCTGCTGAGGGCTGTGGGACGCCATTCGCAGACATACATTCTATCCGAGACCACCGGAGCTCCCGAGCTGTACGATCTAACCGCTCGCCATCGCTCGGACGTCCATTCCCCATGGATTTTTCCCCAGCTTGGCCCCCAGCACGCCCCCAAAGGCCATCGAGAGGCCTCCTCCTCCTCCTTCTCCTCCTCCTCCTCGCTTCTAGATCCTACGCTACCGCTTCCTCCTCCTCCTCCTCCTCCTCCTCCTCCTCCTCCTCCTCCTCCTCCTCCTCCTCTCCTCTCCTCCTCCTCTCCTCCTCCTCCTCTCCTCCTCCTCCTCCTCCTCCTCTCTCCTCCTCCTCCTCCTCTCCTCCTCCTCCTCCTCCTCCTCTCCTCCTCCACCTCCTCCTCCTCCTCCTCCTCCTCCTCCTCCTCCTCCTCCTCCTCCTCCTCCTCCTCCTCCTCCTCCCCTCCTCCTCTCCTCCTCCTCCTCCTCCTCCTCCTCCTCCTCCTCCTCTCCTCCTCCTCCTCCTCCTCCTCCTCCTCCTCCTCCTCCTCTCCTCTCCCTCCTCCTCGCGCCTCTCTTCCTCCTCCTCCTCCTCCTCCTCCTCTCCTCCTCCCTCCTCCTCCTCCTCCCCTCCTCCTCCTCCCTCCCACCTCCTCCACCTCCTCCACCTCCGCCTCCTCCTCCTCCTCCTCCTCCTCCAACCCCTCCTCCCCCTGGAGCCTCCACACCCAGCCGCCCGACGCCAGGATCTGTTCCGCAACCTCGACCCTCAGAGGGCTCGACCCAATCCCCCCAGCGACGGGCTCGTCATCCCGCACCGTTTATTCTGACGGCCCCAAAGGCCGGGTGGAGGCCCCCCTGGCGGCCAGACATGCCTCCAGACCTCCCGTCGTGATTTTTGCTCCCAGCTCGAGGGGGTCTGAGGACATGCCTCCTCTCACAACGACCGACGGGTGCGCCCCTCCCCCACATAGGGAGCCCACAAAGGACGTACGCGCCCAGCTATGTACATGAACACGGCGCCTCGATCCGCGAGACCAGCCGCGTTATACGAACATTTGCGCGATGCGTACTCTCGAAACCAGCGTGGATTCATGTACGTGCACGTCCTTCTGTCGCTCCTGACCACAGGCCGCCCCGCGGACCCTGCCGTTCACGGCGGTCCGGACGACGTCCCCCTGGCGCTTCTGCTTGACGTCCTCGTAGCGGCCCAGCAGCGAGTCCAGCGAGGACGCTGCCTCCTCCCCGTGTCGAGGAGCGGCTCAAAGTGAAGGGGCCCAGGGGCACACAAGCATAAAAAGACACACATCCCAGGACTCCTCACATGTTTCCACACATCTTCTGGCCTTGTTCGTCTCCACGTGTTCTGGATGTGTTCATAATTTGGGAGGCGGAGTTGATTTGCGTCTGTGTCGACGTGTCCCTCCTGATTTTCTTAAGCAATAAATTAAATATATAATATATTTCTATGTGAAGAAAAAACAAAAACAAACAAAAAAAACTAGGTCCGGGCGCTGCAAACTCTTCGCGCCAGGCGTGTTCGCCCAGTGTCGGGCAACGGGGGACCTCGGTGAGCTCCGGAAGCGGCAGGGCCGCTTGTTTGCCGGATGCGAACAAAAACAAACTCTGGAGCATAAAAACGGAGCACAAAGATGGGTCTGGGGCCCAAGTCGCAAGTTTTCGCGATGCTGCAGTCCTTTCGCACATTCGGAACTCGGGGAGGCTGGCGGCGGGCGACCGACCGAAGGCATGGCTCCTCCTCCTCCTCCTCCTCCTCCTCCTCCTCCTCCTCCTCCTCTCCCTCCTCCTCTTGCTCCCCTCCTCCTCCTCCTCCTCCTCCTTCTCCTCCTCCTCCTCCTCCGCCTCTTCTCATCCCCTCTCCTCCACCTCCTCACCTCTCCTCCACCTCCTCCCCTCCTCCCCCTCTCTTCCTCCTTCTTTTCTCCTCCTCCTCCTCCTCTTCCTCCTCTTCCTTCTCCTCATCCTCGTCCTCCTTCTCTTCCTCCTCCTTCTCCTCCTCTTCTTCCTCCTCGTTCTCCTCTTCCTCCTCCCCCTCGACTCGACAACGGGCACGACAACGACGACGGCAACGCCCCCGATGTCAGAAACCCATAACCATACACCAAGCGTGTCCTTAAGATTCCCCATGTCCGCTCCCTCCTAGACTCTCGGTTAGGAGACAACTTTTGGGAGGTCTTCCTCAGAAGCAGTTTAGGCCCGATTAAGGGACCATCATGCCGAATTAAAGCGGATTCGGCCTAAAAGGAAGCTGGAGCAAGCGGGGCTCAATCAGATTGAGCGGGAACCGGCCGGCGTAGGACGGCTTCGACCGCGGATATACCAACGCCGATTCGGAATTCAACCTCCCAGGAATTGCAAGCGAATCCTAAGGCACCGGGGCATCGGCCCCTCAGGCGATGGAGATGCACAACCAAGCTGCTACCACAAAGAGCGCAAAATGAGGAACGAAACCCCTCATTGGCGCCACAGTGAGCGTGCCAGAGGAGCAACCACGGAAGGACCAGAGGAAACAGCGAACCCCTGCCGAGCCCGAGCCGCTCCTCACTCCAGCGCCCGATATCGGCGATACACCGCCGATAAAGCGGCGATAAAGCGGGATGAGCTCTCAGGCCCCTGTCGGCGATCAATGGGCGATAAGAGGTCGAGGAATTTTTCCCTTGAGTTTGTCCCCAGATGGTTTTCGGATCAAAAGTTTGGAACGCACTCGGCAAATCGCAACTGCCAGATCGAATCCCGCGGCTGGAAAACCGACGACGACAACTGTCGAACATCTCCAATCTCGACCAACCGACCCTAATTTCGAACCGCCGCATGTCGGTTGATTTTCCGACTCCGAATTGCCGGACATACACCCCAAACGATGCGAGGACATTTCTGCCTCGGAAGCGTAGGGCGGATATTATAAGAAAGCATGGGCGTAACATTGACGGCAAACTCGGGCGCACATCGACATCACATGAGCGTGAAAAGTAAAACGGATATGTCCGCAGCACCGATCAACTCACTCGATAGAGCGAGCGGATCCGAGGTCAAAGAATCTCCCCCCCTGTCCGACCTGGATGTCCTGACTCGCCGTTCCTTGTCCCTACCATTCTCACCTCTTCCGTCATCGTCATGTTCCCTCCCTCGCCCGTGTCAGAGGCCATCCCGTTCCCTCCATTCGTCCTGGCAGCCCCTCCTCGCCCCAGCATCCCACATGTGCCACTTTTCGGATAGCTCCCCCCCTCTCGCCCTCTCTCTTTCTCGTCCTCACCCGATATTATAATTTTCTCCCTTTTGCATCTAGATCCCTATATGCTTGTTTACTTATTTATTTCTCTCTCTCTCTCTCTCTCTGGTTGTCTCTCTTTCTGTTTTTCGTAATGTGTCTCGATATCTCTCCCGCGTCGGCCGCGCGCAAGAGTGACCGCAGGCGACACTGACCCTTGGTGCGCGGCCCGCAGATCCTGGCATGCGGCGCGGCAGTAGCGGCCTGCGCGCTGGGGGCTGGCCGCCCCGCGCCCACCCGAAAGCCGCGCGCCGAAAGCCACTCTGGCGAAGGGCCACTCTTGACCGCCAGCCAGGGTCGCTCCACCCCCATCCCCCATCAAGATTCCGAGGTACTTCGTGGCCGGCCCGATCGAAATCTAAAAAAAAACCCACTCTGGGACTTCCGTGCACAGGAAGCGGCGACTTCGAGGAGCGATGTCCCCAGTGGCTTGGCGCGACACTGGCACCAGGCAGCAAATCTTGGGCTGGAGGAGGAGGCCAGCAAGAGCAGCAGCAAGAGGGGCACGCGATTCGGAGACGAATCTTTGGGGACGGTTGGAAATGCAGGCTCGACGGCCCCGTGGCCCTCGCAGTGGCGGGGGCGGGGAGCTCGACCCAGAGGGCTGACAACCCGGGATGGCCCCCGAGCCGCGTGGGAGGCCAGGGAGAAGCCCGAGGGCTGACAATTCGGAGCGGCGGAGGTGGCTATTCGGACTGGTCGAAAGCACCCCCTGCCCTCTGGCGCGGGCGTCTTGCAGTCCTGGGGGGGGGACGAAAACCGACCAGCGACGACGAGGACGAGAACGACGGCGCACTGTGGATGACATAAAGGGGGGTGCTGCGCAAGCGGCTCGCAGTCCCAGGGAATGGTGACGACGACGACGACGACGACGACGACGACGACGACGACGACGACGACGACGACGACGACGACGACGACGACGACGACGGCCCCTCGAAGACGGCATGATGGGAGAAAGGAAGGGGTGGACGACGACGACGACGGACGAGGACGAGGACGAGGACGAGGACGAGGACGAGGACGAGGACGAGGACGACGACGACGACGACGACGACGACGACGACGACGACGACGACGGCCCTATGCGGATGGCAATGGGGGGAAGGGCTGCGCGGACGTCCTAAAGTCCTGGGCAACAACGACGACGACGACAATGACGAACAACGACGACGACGCGGACGACGACGATGCCGACGACGAGGACGAACAACGACGACGGGATGACGACCGACCACCACGACCACGACCACGACCACGACCACGACCACGACCACGACCACGACCACGACCACGACCACGACGACAGGACGACGACCACGACCACGACGACGGAACGACGACCACGACAACGACCACGACCACGACCACGTCCACGACAATCACGACGACCACGACCGCGACGACGACGACGAGGACGAATGACGACGAAAACGATGAAAACGACGACGACGACGACGACGACGACGACGACGACGACGACGACGACGGCGGGACGTCGACGACGACGACGACGACGACGACGACGACGACGACGACGGGATGACGACCGACGGTATGACGACGACCAACCCGACGCCCACAAAAATCTGGCGGAGGGGGCGATGAAAACGCCCCCCACAGCTGATTCATCTGTTTTCTGCATTGCGCCCCTAAGGTCTGATGCTGCAGCCAAAAATGCGACATCGCAAAAAAACACCACCGGATCCCCTGACCACATCGTTCTGCGCCATTTCTCGAGCCGGGTCGACCTGTAAGGGCCCCACAAGGCCCGAAACTCGGCGACAAGGCAAGTTGCGAGACAACGGCAGCGCCCACACCTGAAGGCCTCTCGCTCTCTCTCTCTCTCTCTCTCTCATTTCACATTGCCCCTGACTCGGGAGACCAAACGGTACAGATACCGCTACTCTCCAGACCTCTCCCGGGGCGCCTTCCGACCAGCATCTCGAGGCGAATCCAGCGGCGGCCTCCCAGGAGGCCCCAAAAGTGGGGACAACGAGGCAGGGGCAGCCGTGTGGGCACCTTCCCCAACGCTGGCGGGCCGCTCCTCCAGCCGCGCGCGCGTGGCCGCCGCGCCGGCCGCCGCCGCGGGCCGCGCGCCCGCGAGCGCCGCCGCCGCCGGCAGCCCCAGCGCGGCGCGCCGCGCCCAGCGCGCGGAGGCCCGCGGGCGGCCCGCGCCGCCCGCGGCGGCCGCGGCGGCGGGCCGCGAGCCGCCGCCGCCGCCGCCGCGGGCGGGCCGCAGGCCGCGGCGGGCGGCCGCTGCACGCCGCAGCCGCGGCCGCCGCCGCGGCCGCGGGGCCGCGCGAGGGCGGCCGCCGCGGCGGCCGCCGCGGCCAGCAGCTGGGCCGCGGGCGGCGCGCGGCGAGGCCGCGAGGGGCGGGCGGCGCGGCCCATGCGGGCGGGGCGGCGCGGGGCCCTGGCGTCAGGTCGGGCAGGTCCTCCTACAGACGGACTTTGATGAAGAGGCCCTGGGACACACAAATAAATACACACAAATAAAAAGAGTCCCCATATTTTCCCATATTTTCTGGGTTTCTGTCTTCCCCCCCACTGCCCATATGTTCCCATATTTTCTGCGGAATCGACGATTAATTGTGTCTGTGTGTTTTTTCCTCTCCTGATTTGACCGAAAAAGTAAGGTCGTCAAGAGAGCACGGAGAAGCGTTCCCAGACGGTGTTCAGCTCTTCTTTTGCAGAGACTTCTCCTGTAGAGGGACGCGCCCGACTCAACCCTACCGGCCCTGAGGTCCGGGCGCTGCAGTTTGTCCACGCCGGGCATCTCGCCCCATCGCTCGGCCGTGCATTCCCCGTGCATGTTTGTCGATTTCGTGCGTGCTTTTTCGTGGGCGGATCCAAGATGCTCCTCGATGGCCCTCGCCGAAAGAAAAGTGCACACGTCCGAGCGGTGCCAAGGCATGAGCACGGGTCCCCCGTGCCAGCCCGCTCTTCGAGGCGGAGGCTCTCTGCAGCTGAGGCCTTCTCCCCGCTCCCTCCTCTCTGCGGCCGCCCTCCTCCTGCCTGCGTGTGCCCAGAGCTCGGCACAGCCCGCCGGCCATTCGAACGCACCAGCAACCGCTGGCGCTGCAGACCAAGAAATGTTCGCCCAGCTTCGAGCCCCAGGGCCATCACGGAGCGATCCGGCCCGAAAGGCGCCGCAGAAAGGTGGGGTCCAGGGCTCTGGCCGTGGTGTTGTTCGAGGAGGAGAAGGAGGAGGAGGAGGAGGAGGAGGAAGAGGAGGAGGAAGAGGAGGAGGAAGAGGAGGAGGACTGATAGGAGGAGGAGGAGGAGGAGGAAGAGGAGGAGGAGGGAGGAGGAGGAGGAGGAGGAAGAGGAGGAGGAAGAGGAAGAAGAAGGAGAGGTCCAACTTTCTCGCAACGTGGGACCTCAGGGAGGGGGGTGGTCGCCAGGGCACGGCGGGGGTGCCCGCCCTGGGCCCTCACTCCCCGGCGGGGAGCATCGGCCGCGGCGGCCCGCCCGCCTGGAGCAAGAACGGCTACATGTGCTCAGAGAGGACGTCGCCCCCCCTCCGCCGCCGGGGGGGGGCGCCCCCTCCGAGGCCGGACCTCGGTTCCGCAGGATCTGTGTGGACCTCGCCTGGGGAGGGGGGGCCTCCTCCTCCTCCTCCTCCCCCTCCTCCTCCTCCTCCTCTCCTCCTCCTCCTTCTCCTCCTCTCCCCTCCTCCTCCTATCCCTCCTCCTCCTCCTCCTATCCCTCCTCCTCCATCCCTCCTCCTCCTCCTCCTATCCCTCCTCCTCCTCCTCCTATATCCCTCCTCCCTCCTCCTCCTCGGCACCAGTAAGGTGTTTTGTTACACACATGGTTCAGAGGAGGAAATGGTACCAATACCTCTGTGGGCCGCACAGAAACACACGAGTACTGTATGTCCTCCTTGGAGACCCGCGTCCGACCCGAACAGAGAGTGAACCCATCTTGTAGTACACCGTGCATATACTCACAGATCTCTCGGTAAGTGAGTCGCCCCTGGGGGGGCGACGCACAAATATATTATTAGTACGTATCAGTAACGGTGACGCCGACTATAACTCGATCTACATGGCCTCACCCTCGCAAGTCGACTGGAAACAAGCCGTCAAGCCCTCAGGGATGGGCAGGGCTTTTTGTCGGCGGCGAGGAGGGACAATTGATGTCAATGATGCGCAACATGTTGTTGACCTTTACAGCCTTGGACCGTCATGAGACTTGCAGCACGCATAGTAGTCGACGTCGAATGCGAGACGCCATTCCGCTACAAGCTGGAGGCCCTGATCGTCCATGCTCCACCACCTCCACCTGTGCCTTCCCACTCCTCATCCTCCGCGTCTGCCCTCATCCTCCTCGTTTTTCCTGTCCTCGCCTCCTCCTCGTCATCATCATCCTCATCAGCATCATCATCATCATCATCATCATCATCATCATCATCATCATCATCATCATCATCAGCCTCATCATCACCCTCGTCATCATCAGCAGCACCATCTTATTCATCATCATCACCATCATCATACTCAGCATCATCATCAGCATCATCATCATTGCCATCATCAGCATCATAATCATCGCCATCATCGTCATCTGCATCATCATCCTCGTCATCAGCATCATCATCATCATCATCATCATCCTCCTCCTCCTCCTCATCATCATCATCATCATCATCATCATCATCAGCATCAGCATCAGCATCAGCATCAGCATCAGCATCAGCATCATCACATCATCATCCTCGTCACCCCCGTTGTCGTCCTCCTCCTCCTTCTCTTCCTCCACCTCCCCGTACTCCTAGACCTTCTCTTCCTCCTCCTCCTCCTCATCATCATCATCATCCTCCTCCCTCACCCTTCCTCCTCCTCCTCCTCCTCCTCCTCCTCCTATCCCTCCTCCTCCTCCTCCTATCCCTCCTCCTCCTCCTCCTATCCCTCCTCCTCCTCCCTCCTCCTCCTCCTATCCCTCCTCCTCCTCCTCCTATCCCTCCTCCCTCCTCCTCCTCGGCACCAGTAAGGTGTTTTGTTACACACATGGTTCAGAGGAGGAAATGGTACCAATACCTCTGTGGGCCGCACAGAAACACACGAGTACTGTATGTCCTCCTTGGAGACCCGCGTCCGACCCGAACAGAGAGTGAACCCATCTTGTAGTACACCGTGCATATACTCACAGATCTCTCGGTAAGTGAGTCGCCCCTGGGGGGGCGACGCACAAATATATTATTAGTACGTATCAATAACGGTGACGCCGACTATAACTCGATCTACATGGCCTCACCCTCGCAAGTCGACTGGAAACAAGCCGTCAAGCCCTCAGGGATGGGCAGGGCTTTTTGTCGGCGGCGAGGAGGGACAATTGATGTCAATGATGCGCAACATGTTGTTGACCTTTACAGCCTTGGACCGTCATGAGACTTGCAGCACGCATAGTAGTCGACGTCGAATGCGAGACGCCATTCCGCTACAAGCTGGAGGCCCTGATCGTCCATGCTCCACCACCTCCACCTGTGCCTTCCCACTCCTCATCCTCCGCGTCTGCCCTCATCCTCCTCGTTTTTCCTGTCCTCGCCTCCTCCTCGTCATCATCCTCATCATCAACATCATCATCATCATCAGCCTCATCATCACCCTCGTCATCATCAGCAGCACCATCTTATTCATCATCATCACCATCATCATACTCAGCATCATCATCAGCATCATCACCATTACCATCATCAGCATCATAATCATCGCCATAATCGTCATCAGCATCATCATCCTCGTCATCATCATCATCATCATCATCATCATCATCATCATCATCATTATCATCATCAGCATCATCATCAGCATCAGCATCAGCATCAGCATCATCACATCATCATCCTCGTCACCCCCGTTGTCGTCCTCCTCCTCCTCCTCTTCCTCCACCTCCCCGTACTCCTAGACCTTCTCTTCCTCCTCCTCCTCCTCATCATCATCATCCTCCTCCCTCACCCTCTTCCTCCTCCTCCTTCTCCTCCGCATCCTCCTTCTTCTCCTCCGCCTCATCCTCCTCCTCTACAGGAACAAATGAAAGCTACAGAAACATCGTTTCTCAGAGGTCCGTGCGGATTTCTTGAATCTGCGTTGACCCTCCCTGGCGCGCGGAGCGCGCCAGGGGCTTCTTAGAGGCCCGTGCAGATTTCTTGTATCCGCATTGCCCCCCTCCCTAGCGCGCGGAGCGCGCCAGGATCGGCGCCAGAGGCGTCGCCAGGGGGGCTCAAAGCCGATCCAAGAAATCCGCGCGAAGCTGCAAGAAAGCATGTGTATGCCGTTTCTTGCGATTCGATCCTCAGCCTCAGCCCTCCGCCCTCAGCCTCCTCCCTCCCTCCAGCGGAGGATAAGAAAACGCGCAAGGGCGCATCCGACACACCCTCTCCCTCCTCCTCCCTCCATCATTGGGGACGCAACACGGCCTCAGCACACCGTGAACGATGAGTCCGCGGGTTGCTGGGGTTGCTGGACCCCGAATTCAAAATTAGAGGTCTCCCAGATGGGGTCGGAAAAGATCGGGTCGGAGGATCGCGCCGCCTCGCCGGTACATCGGCGACGCCAGCGTGGAGAAAATCGGGCTCCACATCGAGCCGCATCGCCGATGCATCGGCGATACGGCGCGAACCTCCGACCCCATCTGCTCGGACCCCCTCTGGGAGGCCTAGTAGCACGAGTGGAGCGATATGTCCAGGCGAGGTGAGTCCGCGCGCTGGGGCGCGTGACCCCGGCACTGCTGCACTGGACCCAGACCCCCGACGTCATGATTTGTTCATTACGTCGACCCCTGGAGGTCTCGATGCATTGCCCTGGACCGGTTTCTCCTCCTGATTCGTCTGTTGACGCTCCCGAGGGCCGGTATAGGGGCCCCCAGATGCCGAAGATAGCAACCACCGGCGCCTTGAGCACCCGACCGGCGGCGGAAATGCGCAAATGAAGGCCGTGAAATCACAAATATCATCAGCAGCACCAGTATCAGTCTCCCTCATTATTACCATCACCATCACCAGGACCAGCACCATCATCATCATCATCATCATCATCATCATCATCATCATCATCATCATCATCATCATCATCATCATCATTATCTTCATCATCATCATCATCA